TAAAATATCAATAAAATAAAATTAAAAAAAAAAAAAGAATCTTCAAAATGTCTAATACTTCTCTGGAAGTGCAACAGAAGATAAGGATTTTGATTGACTTGATTTTTCCTGAGTTGTACATAAAGATTTAAATGTAGTAAGGAGCAATTAAGTTAACTTACATCCCTTTGTAAATTGAGGAATCTCTCTTTGACTTATCATAATTGTGGTACATCCAGATGTTAACAAACTGGGTTTATAAAGTAAGTCATCCCGAATTGAGAACCCAGATATCAACCCAAATCACTATGCTCAGTTAATATTTGACAAAGGAGGCACAAATATACAATGGAGTCAAGACAGTCTCTTCAATAAATGGTGTTGGGAAAATTGGACAGATACATGCAAAAGAATGAAACTGGATCACCAACTTACACCATACACAAAAATAAACTCAAAATGGATACAGGATTTAAACATAAGACGGGAAACCATAAAAATACTAGAAGCATCCACAGGCAGCAAAATGTCAGACATATGCCAAAAGAACTTCTTCACTGATACTTCCCCTAGGGCAATGGAAGCTAAAGAGAAAATAAACAGATGGGACTACATCAAAATAAAAAGCTTTTTTTACAGCAAAGGAAACCATCAACAAAACAACAAGAAAGCCCTCTGTATGGGAGAACATATTTGCAAATGTTATCACTGATAAAAGTTTAATCTCCAACATCTACAGACAGCTTACACAACTTAATAAAAGGAAGATAAATGACCCAATTAAAAAATGGGCAATGGATCTAAATAGAATCGTCTCAAAAGAAGACAGAAGGAAGGCCAAGAGGCACATGAAAACATGCTCAAAGTCACTAATTATCCGAGAAATGCAAATCAAAACAACAATGCCGTACCATCTCACACCTGTCAGAATGGCCAACATCAACAAATCAACAAACGACAAGTGTTGGCGAGGTTGCGGAGAAAAAGGAACCCTCGTGCACTGCTGGTGGGAATGTAGACTGGTGCAACCACTGTGGAGAACAGTATGGAGCTTCCTCAAAAAACTGAAAATGGAACTCACATTTGACCCAGTAATCCCACTCCTAGAAATATATCCCAAGAAACTAGAAACACCAATCAGAAAGGATATATGCACCCCTATGTTCATAGCAGCACAATCCACAATAGCTAGGATTTGGAAACAGCCTAGGTGCCCATCAGCAGATGATTGGATCCAAAAACTATGGTACATTTACACAATGGAATATTATGCAGCCATAAAAAAGAAAAAATTCTCATCATTTGCAGCAACCTGGATGGAATTGGAGAACATCATGCTGAGTGAAACAAGCCAGTCAATGAAAGAGAGACACCACATGACCTCATTTATTTATGAATGATAAAGAACATTATAAACTGAAGAACCAAAGGATAGATATAGAGACAGTAAAGCAACAAGCAGACTGTCAAATTACAGTGGGGAGGTTGGGGAGTTATAGGGGAGATACGAGATCAACCGAAGGACTTGTATAGATGCATATAAGTACAACCAATGGACACAAAACTCTAGGGAGGGAGGGTATGTATGGGGGGGGGCATTGGTATATGTACAAAAATAATAATTTAATAAAAATATATTTAAATGACAATAATTAATTAATTAATTAATTAAATTAAGTCATCCCTATATATGAAGAGAGTTTGCTTCAGTTCCCAGAACTTTCCTATGCTCTCCTGCCCTCCCCACTTTTAACAAATAAGAATTTACTGTGTGCCCAACACTGTGCTAGGTACTAAGGCTATAACGATGAAGGAGCTCATTAGAGAAAGGTCATGTTATGATGTTTTCTCATTAAGTTAGAGGCTCAGTTATGTCACTGAGGACCCATTTTTAAAATATTCCTACTGTGCCATTCTTAATATTTCTGCTTTATCTTAAAGTCAGGTGTCTTAGGTCACAATGCTGCAGCAATTGCATTGATAACATCCTCATAATAGTTAAGAAGTAGAAGAACTATGTCATGCTTGTATCTCATTTTAGCAGGCTTTCAGTGGACTATCTTTGATCTAGCAAAACCCAAAATACCTTACTCCTGGACAAGGTGAACTGGATTAAATAGGTTTACAACTTTGATGGTATCTTCTCTCTATAGTCGGAGCTGGTCATAGATTCTTATCTCTTGACAAACGTTTGGCTTCTAAGAGAGGGTTTTTTGAACTATGGCTGATGTAGCTGGCTTACAAATATACCTGGGCTGTTGAATAGGCCATTGACTTCCAACCCTTGTACATTCTGGCATATGTCATGGCATACACAGAAAATGGTAATCCATCATACTACTCACTGGGATAAACCCAAGAAGTTTGCAGCCATGCCTTGCCTGAAAGGCTCTTGCTGCCTCAGCCTTGCTCAGCTTTTCCAGATAAGAAGATTCACATCAGAGCACAACTGTATTTCATTTACCGCACCTTAGTTGGGAAGTTCTGGAGGAGCAATCCACAGCATCTGCCAAAGAGAAAAAAACGTGTACTCAAACTAAGCAATTTATTACTATAAGACCAAGAGATGCAGGAGACACAGTTTCTGAGCTAATGTTTGATGGTTGTAGTTCCAGCAAGCTCTTCTGTGATGTGTTCGTGCCTTTGCACATGCTGATTCTCTCTTCTTACTGTTTTCTTTAACAGTACAATGTAATGGATAAGCAGAGTTAAATATATCTGGGTTTAAATCCTCTGCCACCCATCAGCTCTGGAATATTGGGCAAATTGATGAACTCCTGTGAACCTGTTTCTCCATATGCAAAGTGGAATAATTCTATGCACTACTCATTTGAAATAATTGTTTTTGAGGACTAAGATAATTATGTAAAATTACCAGCACAACTTAATGTTAACCAATAAAGATTTGACAAATTAAGTTTGTTTGGGGGGTCTTAAAAAAAAGAATTAGAACCTGAGACCCATATTTAGATAGCAATCCAAAGTGCTCTGAAGAGAAGAAAGGAAGATAGGATTTATAAAGGCAAAAACCACAAAATGCAATTCTTTCATGCAAATGAAGTATTGCTGGTTAAGTACAGGAATTAGTTCCAATATCGAGTGCATGAAATTCTTGCACTGGTAGGGTCCCTAGGCCTGGCTGGCAATCAGGGCCCATCTTGGGGTGACCAGCCGGGAGATGGTGGGTGGGGCCCCTGCTAGCACCCACCTTGGTTTTGACCTGGGGCCTGTGGGCAACTCCCTCATTGAGCATCTGCCCCCCTGGTGGTTAGTGCGCATCATAGCAACAGGTCATTCTGCCATTCAGTCAATTTGCATATTGGGCTTTTATTACACAGAGTAGAGGCCTAGTGCATGAAATTCCTGCACAGGGTGGGGGATGTGTCGACATCCCTATCACAATCCAAAAAAGGCTGGCTCCCAATTGCTCGCCTGCCTGCCTTTCTGATTGCCCCTAACCGCTTCTGCCAGCCAGCCTGATCACCCCCTAACCACTCCCATGCCAGCCTGATTGATGCCTAACTGCTCCCCTGCCAGCCTGTTTTCCCCTAACTGCTTTCTCCTGCAGGCCTGGTCACCCCCAACTGCCCTCCCCGTAGGCCTGGTTCCCCCCAACTGCTCTCCAGTGCAGGCCTGGGTCCCTCCGAATTGCCCTTCCTTGCAGGCCTGGTAGCCCTCAACTTCCCTCCTCTGCTGGCTTGGTCACCCCTAACTGCCCTTCCCTGCTGGCCTGGTTGCCCACAACTGCCCTCCCTTGCAGGCCTGGTTCTTCCCAACTGCCCTCTCCTGCTGGCCATCACAAGATGTTTACATGGGGGCAGGATCTTTGTCCACATGGGGGCAGCAATCTTGTGTGTTGGAGTGATAGTCAATCTGCATATCATTCTTTTATTAGATAGGATGTAGGGAGGTAAAAGAAAAATACTTCCTATGATTAAGGAAGTGAAGCCCATATATATGTATATCTGTATCCATGTAGCAGTGATTGTTACAGGATATTTATGGCTGGGCCTTGAGCTGAGTGTAGCCACTTCATAGCTGCTCTAAGAACTGAAGCACAAGATGTGGATGGGCCCCACTTCCCTAATAGCCTCTATTTTAAGTGACTTAGGAATGCTTATTCCATTTAATGTTTTCCCGTTATCAATAAGTAAGCCCTCAAATGTTACATCTCCCTGGCAAAATTCTACTAGTATTCAACTAACACTGTTCCTTTGAAGATGTCCCGTAGACGTTTCTTGGTGCCTTCTGTAAACCACTAGACGATTTATTACTATAAGTAAACATGTGAAGACGTTTTCTGGTTAAGACAGAGGCATTAAAACAGTAATTACACTGCAATCTGTTCTTTACCCACAGTCCTCCTCTCCTCCCTAACTAGAGATCCTACCCTTTGTATCTCCCAGTGACTGGCAGAGTCCCCGCAGTGTTTGTTTTCCTTTGGGCCCCTCCGCGGAGGGGAGCGGGCTGGCGGGAGGCGGAGGGCGCCGCCCAGAGGGAGAGGGGCGTGCCCGCCGAGGGTGCAAACGCCCGATATTCCTGGCGGGGCCGGGCCGCACCCCGTGACCCACCCACAGATGGACACGGGCCCAATCTCACCCCCCAGCCTGGGCACTGCCCAGCTACCCGCACCCATGCCCGGAAGGCAGCGTTCCGGGTAGAGGCAGGTCCGGGCGGCGGCCGCGGCCGCGGCCTCGGGAGAGACGCCGGGGCGCCGGCCCGGGCCCCGTGCCCAGCGCGCCCGCCCGACCTCGCGCCAACCGGCGCCCGGGCTCCTGCCGACGCCGCGGGCCCGGAGCCTCGCGGACGTGACGCCGCGGGCGGAAGTGACGTTTTCCCGCGGTTGGACGCGGCGCTCGGTTGCCGGGCGGGCGGGGGGTGGGCTGGTCGGTGTCTCTCAGGGGACGTTCGTGTTATTTCTGTAACGGGAGTCGGCAGAGGACGGGGCGTGCCCGGCGCGCGCGCGGCCTCCCGCCCCGGCGCCCCTCGCCCCCCGCGGGCTCCCGCCCGGGCCGCGCGTCATGCCGCCCAAAGCCCCCCGCAGAGCCGCCGCCGCGCCCCCGGCGCCGCCGCCCCCCGAGGAGGACCCCGCGCAGGACAGCGGCCCCGAGGACCTGCCGCTGGCCAGGTGAGCGAGCGTCAGCCCGGGCCGGCGCGCGGGGAGGGCGCGCGGGATGCGGCGGGCGGCGGCGGGCGGGCGCCGCGGTGCCCGGCGGGCGGGGGTGCGCCCTCGCCGGGAGGCCGGCCCGCGGGAGGAGGGTCCCGCCGCGCCCCCCGCCGCGGCGCGGCGCCGGGGGGAGGCTGACAGGGGTCCTGGTCCGCGAGCGGGAGCGCGGCGCCGCCGGAAGGGCTCTGGCTCCGGCTTGACAGGTGTCGGGCGGGTGGGGCTGCGGTCCCTGAGCGAAGTGACAGGTGCCGCCTCCTCCGCGGGGCTGGAGGCTCGCCGGCGGCGCGCGATTTCGAGGCCCCGTCAGGCGGGGCGGGGGAAGAGCCTCCGAAAACAGCACAAAAAGACGAGTGTCTGGCGGAGAGCCCTTCTCCGGGGGAGAAAAGGGGGGGAGGGTTCGTAGTCCGCCGGGGGTCTCCTGGGATGCAACAGGTGGGCATACTGTCCTGTGGGCGCGCAGCTGCCCCCGAGCCTCCCCGGGGAGCGGCGGCCCGGAGGGCACGGGGCCGCCTGGGCGGAGAGTGCGGGCCCGGGGCCAGCCGTGCCCGGGGCGCCTGGCCGGGGTGCTGGGTGGGGTTCTCCTGCACCCGTGCTCTGAGTTCTTGGGGATACAGAGCCATAGTAACTCTGCTGGTGGGACAGAAAGCTCTTCCGAGGAACTGAGGATGTATGGGCACAGGGTTAGCCCCAAGTGCTTACATGTCTCTACACTTTTCCTTTCTTTCTTGTTTCAGGTTAGCTGGCTTCAGCATGTCTCATTATTATTTCCCCCCCCCCCCCCCCCCCTTGTTTGCCTTTTGGCTTGGAGGCCAGTCCTGGTCCTTTTGCTCCCCAATCCCCACCCCCTTTGTTTGGGTACAAAATGAGCGTCCTTGTGCTCCCATGGATGGAATTTAAATGTAAGAGAGTCATGATATCATGATATAATAACGCAGTAGAACATGACAGGGGAGATATTTATTCCTTTCTAGCAACATCTTATTATTATTATTTTTTAATGGAATACTCTATGGTTAAGAAGCTAAGATGGGTAGAGTAGAATCGTCTTTATTCTTGTCAGCACGGGCCCTCTGAAGAGGACCATTGCAGGGGAACGAGACTCCTTTCTGTCCCTCACCGCTCCCTCCCTCTTTCTCCTCCCTCGCCAAGGCCTGTTTCTTTCACCTTCCTAGACATTAAGAAAATTCAGGCCAAATTGCAAAAGACTGGAATGGGTTTTTGGAAATGGCTTGTGAAAGGCCATTTATATATTTAAATAGTCTGCCTTATGGGTCAATTTAAAAGTCATCCTCATCAGTTAAAAAAAAAAAGTCTGAGGATGTTCTGGGAGAAGACATTCATTTCGGCTTAAACTCTGTTGTATCTAGGACTTGAAAGTTTCCCTTTGGAAGCAGCAGTAAACACTCAGTGAAGTGTTCCATGTTGTACACAGAGCTTTGGAAGCATTCTTGATTATTGTATGGTAACCAGAAATATTGAAGTTCTGGTCATCATCTGGACTTTGTTTTTGTTTTTTTTTAAAACTATTTTTCTAACACTTTTTATATACCTTAAATGATGGATTAATTAAATTATCCTGTAAGTCAAAACCCATACAAAAATAGTGTGCTCTTTATTGTCCATATCCACAAAAGGTTTCTTTAGCACGGGCAGTCAAACTCCGTAGACTAACTGCTTAGCAAGGATAGAGCCACTGACTGGCAAACTGAGGCCAAGAAGCTTATTCAGGTCCCAGTCCCACTGGACTTCCAGTTACAGAGTCCATTTCTACTTTGAGAGTTGAGATCTTATTTCTGTTGCATTATCTCTGACCTAAATGATGTAATTGGAAGGGAAACCCTCACTAGTAACAGCATGCTATCTTTATTGTTGAGATAACCAAAAGTTAATTATGTTTTGAGAGAGGGTTGACAGTTTGGAATAGTGGTCAAGGACACAAATTATGAATATGAGGTTAGATTGTAGGGTTTATGTCAAGGTTCCCACTTACTGGCTGTCATCCCAGGTGAGTGCTATAACTTCTCTGACTTGGTATTTATCTGTAAAATAAGGATAATAAGAGTACTTACCTAGTAGAGCTAATTTGGGGATTTAGGGAAACCATGCATCTAAGCTACTTTACACACTGGGTCATAGTAAATACTCAAAAATTATTAGCTATTTCTCATTATTATGATATAGACATTATACAGTATTATACATACTGTTAATATTCAAAAATCCTCATAATATGATTATTAGATGTCAAATAGGCATTAAATGAATAAAAAGGAATTATCCAAAAAGAATAATTTATGTTAAATTAATCATTGTGTAAGAAATGCTAGCAGGTAGATTCCATATGAAACATTGATAATTATAGACTCTATTTTAACTAAGTCACTGGTAGTGAATTGAATTCTGTAATAATGGGTTTTTCTCTTCTTGCTGTTATTGTTATCCCAGTTTCCCCAAACAGCTTTAGCTATTTTACTTACTTTCCTTCACAAACTATTTTGCTGCTCTGAAGTGTAAGTGATTCACTAGTCCAGCAAACATTTTTCACTGTGTGGTATCCTTACTTTGGAAAGACTAAGAAAGATAACCACACTCTTAAATTCTAAGTGTAAGTTTTTCAAAGATAAACTTATCCTGTAAAGATAAATAAGCTCCTAAAGTATTTAGTGATGCTAGCTTTTCAGAATAGTGCTATTATTTGCAAACCATCGAAACAAATGTTTACTTAATTAGTTTATTTTATGATTTTGTGACTATTAAATGTATATCTTTATTTGGTAGGCTTGAGTTTGAAGAAACCGAAGAACCTGATTTTACTGCATTATGTCAGAAATTAAAGATACCAGATCATGTCAGAGAAAGAGCTTGGTTAACTTGGGAGAAAGTTTCCTCTGCAGATGGAGTATTGGTAAGAATTTGCCTAAAGTTTTTAATACATTTTTATCACCTTAAAAATAAATTTTTGGACCACTGTAGAAAATTTAGAAAAATAGAAAAATTCCCCCCAAAAAAGAAAAGCTAATAATAATTTTATTGCCCAGAGGCAATTTACCCCTGATAACATAAAGAAGTCACCACATACCCCCCCACCAAAGTATTTTAAAGCCAATCTTAGATATATTTTATTTATAAAAACTTCCCTAATAATATAAAGACTTTTAAAAAACAAAACCATATCTTAAAAATAATTTTTAATACCTTCTATTATACAGGGAGTGTTCAAATTTCCTGTAAATCTTAGAATTAGTTTTATTAGAATTCAGAATCTTTGATAATATTTTGATATGTTTCTTCTATTTTTTTCTTTGCATATAATATTTGAAAATAATTACTAGTGCTTTATATGTACTGGGGAAATATGATAAGCACTTTGTAAATTACTGATTTAGCAGTCCATTGTGATGTGAAATATAAAACCCTTATTTTACATGTATTATGTAAAATCTTTATTTTATAGATGAAGACACTGAAGTAGACTAAGGTCAAGTAAATTGACCAAGGTCCCTGGCTAGTAAGATCTAAAACAAAGATTTGGAGCCCTATCTATAGTTAGACTAGAGACTCAATGCATGAAATTCGTGCAAGAGTAGGCCTTCCTTCCCTTGGCTGCCGACACTGGCTTCCCTCTGGCTCCTGGGACCTGGGCTTCTCTCACAGCCCTGGCTTCATCTGGAAGGACGTCTGGTCTAATTAGCATATTAGGCTTTTCATTATTATAGATACAGTTACATATACTTTTGTATCTTGCTTTAAATGTTTTTCTTAATATCATGAGCATTTACTTGTTATTAAATTTTTTTTGAAATATGATAATGTAATTTTCAGTGGAAATATAATATTTTATTCATTAGATACATTTTAATTTTTTAATTCTTACTATTATTAGACACTTATTTTTCCCCAAACTATTTTGCAATATATAATAATGAGATAGCTGTCTTTTCTTGTTCATAAGAATAATGCTTGCCACAAAAATAAGTTCTTGATAATTTGTTATAAAAATTAATGAATGACTCTCTGATTATTAGTCAATTTTTATGAGTTGAGTTACTGAGTCAAAAGCTATGGACATTTAAAAACTCTTGATAATTATTACTGAATTGCACTCCAATCGCTTTTAATGAATTTATTTCTCATCAGCATCCTATCCTATCTAATAAAAGAGTAATATGCTAATTGACCATACCAACGCTACACCCACAACCAGTCAGGGGTGCTATGCAAATTAACCCAGCAAAGCTGGCAGGGGGGAGGAGGCAGTGCCCTAGCCACTGGCCTGATCCAAGCCACGATGGCAGACCTGGGCAGGCAGCATGGGTCAGTGCCCGCTGCTGGCTTGATCTAAGCCAAGATGGGGGACCTAGCAGGTGGCGGGGGCAGCGCCCTACGCCACTGGCCTGTTCCAAGCCTTGATCGCACTGCCTGCCAGGTCCAAGCCACAATGGAGGACCGGGCAAGCAGCATGGAGCAGCCCTACGCCACTGGCTGGATCCAAGCCATGATTTCTGACCTAGGCAGGTGGCAGGGGGGAAGGGAGGAGCAGCTTCCTAGCCACTAGCCTAAAAAACTGCCATCGCACCACCTGCTGGTCCAAGCCACAGTGGGGACCAGGCAAAGCAGCAGGGTGCAAAGCCCTAGGCCATTGCTTGCCTGGATTGGGGACCCTGACCCGTGGCGTGGGGCAGCGCCCCACACTGCTGGTGGGGTCCAAGCCAATGGGACCTGGGCAACTTCTGCCAAGACCCGCCTGTGGTGTCGAGCAGAGGGAGAAAGCTGGCAACTTAGAGGGCATTGCTCCCTCTGGAGCCCCAGCTTCGGAATCCCAGCTATGGAAACTGACAACCAGTAGGAGAATCCCCACAGAATCAGCCAGAATCAGCTGTTGGTCACACAGCTCAAAGGCCTGACAGTTAAGACTCATTCACCTGTATCTCAGACCATGCAGTAGAGAGGTGGGACTATGTTCAAAGAAAAGCTGTTGATAAAACGTAGCTTTGCAGCAGAAAGATGCCGATGTTATTGACAGAAAATGTCTGAAGAGCAAAGGGCATCTGATCTTGAAAGAAGGCGATGCCTACGACAGAATGTATCTGAAGAGCAGCCATTGGAAAAACGTTGCTCTGAACCCGAAAAACACCGGCATCATCGACAGAAAATGTCTAAAGACCAACGTGCCTTTGAAGTTGAAAGAAGGCGGTGACGAAGACAGAAGTCCAGAGAACAGTCATCAACAAGTACTACCAATATTGGTAGGAACTGCCTTCTCAGCAAAAATGGAGTACATGAGGATGCAATTCTCAAACACAGTTGTGGTGGCATGACTGTTAGATGTGAATTTTGCCTATCATTAAAATTCTCTGATGAAAATCCATCCGATGGGAAATTTACTAGATGTTGTAGAAAAGGGAAAGTCTGTCCAAAAGATATATATTTTCCAGATTACCCTGCATATTTAAAAAGATTGATGACGCCAGAACCGGTTTGGCTCAGTGGATAGAGCGTCGGTCTGCGGACTGAAAGGTCCCAGGTTCGATTCCGGTCAAGGGCATGTACTTTGGTTGCGGGCACATCCCAAGTAGGGGGTGTGCAAGAGGCAGCTGATCGATGATTCTCTCTCATCGATGTTTCTAACTCTCTATCCCTCTCTCTTCCTCTCTGTAAAAAATCAATAAAATATATTAAAAAAAAAGAAAAAGATTGATGACAAACGAAGATTCTGACAGTAAAAATTTCATGGAAAATATTCAATCCATAAATAATTCTTTTGTTTTTGCTTACATTGGTGCAAATATTGCATTGCCATTAGGGTATGGACCATACTGTTTTAGAATACATGGACAAGTTTATCACCGTACTGGAACTTTACATCCTTCGGTTGGTATTTCTTGGAAGTTTGCTCAACTTTATATTTTGGATACAGCCAAAGCTACAAGTAAATGATTAGCAATGCCAGAAAACCAGGGCTGCTCAGAAAGACTCATGATCAACATCAATAACCTCATGCATGAAATAAATGAATTAATAAAATCGTATAAAATGCTACATGAGGTAGAAAAGGAAGTCCAATCTGAAGTAGCAGTAAAAGGTATTGCTCCCACAGAAGTAACTATGGCAATTAAATATGCTCGTAACAGTGATCCAGGTAGATATAATCCTCCCAGTTTAACCGAGGTTGCTGTCATATTCAGAGAACTTCCTTTTGAAAGGGACTTGCTTATTCATTGTAAACCAGATCCCAATAATCCAAATGCCACTAAAATGAAACAAATCAGTATCCTGTTTCCTACATGAGATGCAATGACATATCCTATTCTTTTTCCACCTGGTGAAGAAGGCTTGGGAACAGATATTGCATTAAAACTCAGAGATAACAGTGTACTCAACAATAATACTAGACAAAATCTAAGGACAGGAGTCACACAAATGCAGTATTATGGATTTCATCTCTCTGTGAGGGACACATTTAATCCTATTTTAAATGCAGGCAAATAAACAGTTTATTGTGGATTCATATTAAAAAATGGAGGCAAATCGGATAAATTTCATTAAGGCAAACCAATCTAAGTTGAGTTGAAAAATTTAGTGGTTTGATGGATTATCTCACATCTAGATCTGAAAATGACAATGTACCAATCGGTAAAATGATGATACTGCCACATCATTTGAGGGCAGTCCCAGAAATATGAGCAGCGATGTCAGGATGCACTGGCAATTGTAACGGAGTATGGCAAGCCCGATTTACTCATACCATGATGTGAACTTCAGATGGGCAGGTATTACAATTTACAATGCTGGCAAAAAAGGTGAAAACAGACCTGACTTGGTAGCCAGAGTTTTTAATGTTAAGCTGAATGCTCTTTTAAATGATATATGTAAATTCAATTTACTTGGCCAAGTAATAGCTAAGATTCATGTCATTAAATTTCAGAAACTAGGACTGTCTCACGCTCACATATTATCGATATCAGATAGTGAGTCCGAATTACGTTCAGCAGATGACATTGATCGTATAGTTAAGGCAGAAATTCCAGATGAGGACCAGTATGCTCGACTTTTTCAAATTATAAAATCAAATATGGTACATGGGCCATGTGGAATACAAAATCCAAATAGTCCATGTATGGAAAATGTTCAAAGGGATATCCGAAAGAATTTCAAAATGTGACCATTGGAAGTATAGATGGATATCCCAAATACAAACGAAGACCTGGTAGTACAATTTCTATTGGAAATAAAGTTGTTGATAATACTTGGATTGCCCTTATAATCCATATTTGTGCCTCAAATATAACTGTCATATAAAAGTTGAAGTCTGTGCATCAATTAGAAGTGTTAAATATCTATTTAAATACATCTATAAAGGTCATGATTGTGCAAATATTCTAATTTCTGAAAAAATATTATCAATCATGATGAAGAACAGGACTTCATTGAGTCCAGGTATGTGAGCGCTCCTGAGGCTGTTTGGAGACTTTTTGGAATACGAATGCATGAGCAATCTCATGCAATCACAAGATTAGCTATTCATTTGCCAAATGATCAAAATTTGTATTTTCATGCCGATTATTTTGCTGAAGTTTTAGATAGGACTAAAAGACATAACTCAACTTTGATGGCTTGGTTCTTATTGAATAGAGAAGACTCTGAGACATGTAATTATTATTATTGGGAGATTCCACAGCATTATGTGTTTAATAATTCTTTCTGGATAAAATGCCAGAATGGTAAGAATAAAGTATTAGGGAGACTGTTCACCGTGAGCTTTAGAGATCCAGAACGATATTGCCTTAGACTTTTGCTTCTGCATGTAAAAGGTGCAATAAGTTTTGAGGATATGTGAACTGTAGGAGGTGTAACTTATGATACATTTCATGAAGCTGCTAAACACCGAGGATTGTTACTTGACGA